TCTCGGGCCAGCCGCTCGTTGGCCACGCGGTTGGCCTCGTGATATCGCTTGATCAGCACGTCCGGGGGCAGCTGCCACCAAACATCGTAGGCATCCACGAGCACGACGAGATCGTTGTCCCTCAGGCGGTCTCCCTCGTGGGTGTCCGGGTGAGTAACGGCGTCAAGATATTCCAGCGCGCCTGTGATCTTGGCCAAGTGGGAACCGCCGATGGCCTTTTCCTCCGTTTTCCCAGTATCCTTGCGCCAGTTCAATATCACAGGGCTGGGGTATCCCAGTGCCATCCCGCTGAAGATGACCTTACACAGCGCCGAGCCAGGGTCATCAGCTGGGAGGAGAATGACCAGACGATGGTTTCCAGGTGGCGGTTCCGAGATATCAGCCATAAATCTGGACTCTTCCTCCATGAACGAGTTCATCGCCTCTTCAGCCTTCCTTCCGCTATCATCAAGGATAGGTTGCTTGTGAATCTGGGGCATCTGGGGCCTGTAGTATCCCTTAGACTTGGCCTCGGTATCTCCTTCTGTTTGCTGAGATGGCGATGCAGATGCGTCTTCAACGTAGCCCTGTCGCATTTTCCCTGCAGCCTTTAATATCGCGGCGGTAATAGTAGACCCGGGCACATGGCTATCGGGATCGTGGGCGGGCATGTTCGGGATATCGAGGTGCGCAGGCGTGATACGGACTGAGCCACCAAGAGCAACAACATCGTCGGTAAGATCGGACATATAGTCATGGCCCTATGTAAGCCAAAGTCAGCAGCCATTCCTCTAGCATTCCAATGCTGACCAAAAGACAAGGACGCACATTAACCACCACGAGAGTCAACAGGGCAGGTATCGACACAATCGACACGATGAGCAGCATCAGGGGACGGTTCGACACCCGCAGCAGCCGCCGCGGAATATGCCCGATCCCGTTCAACGCCTTCTCACTCGGCTCCATGGGCGTATTGTGAAGCGGAATGTAGCTGCCCGTGTGCCATGTCTGCGTCACGCCGAGGACGAACTCGCGAACAGACTCCATTCGATTCCCGATCCGAACGCCCAATTAGAAATAAAGAAGAAGAGAGAGACTGAGCAAACAGGGAGGGAAACAAGTGAGAAACCGAACAAAACTCGAACAAACTGCCAGCAGTTTGGAAGAACAAGATGAGGGCGCCGTAAGTACGACTGACACAAGATTGGGCTGTCGACTGGTAATTATACAACCAAGCCTGCGCCCAGTACTTTGCAACCCTCCCCGGCCATGATGTCGATTTCCTGCGACTGGTCAAACTGGGATAAGTGTTTCCCAATCGCTCGGTACTTGGAGAAGCCGTGAGATCAGGGGCATGTCGCGATCAGCCATACTATGTAGAGACGACTTGACCCCGGACCCCCCACCTTCTCCAACGGGAATCAGACAAACAGATGCGCCAATTAACAGGGCCAGGTATACGCGTTGTTTGAACTGTTAAGTGTTTCACGGTCATGTGGCCTAGATGGGCACGAGACGCGTGTAAGCCCCCGAGCCGGGCATGCCAACCGTAACGTAAAACTTGTTATTTTCCGCCTTGGGGGTAAGACAACAGGCAGCCGGGTATTCTCAAGGTCCGAGCATATACGAAAAGCTCAGGTCTTTGAGTGTCCTTCACTCAAATGTCTGTTCATCAAAAACGAAAAGGATCAGTGCACACATCCAACTGCGGCGTGAACCCCCACCGTGGGACTCCTGCCTCGTCATCCGAACCATTCGAAACCCCCCATGGGCGGCTAACCTTACATCGAAGCATACGCCGGTAGTCAAATGAGACCCAATCGCCGGAGCAGAACTAGGAGCAGCCACGTCTTGAGACGTATGGATCGGCCTAGAATCCGTGGGGAAGGGCAGTCTTGGTGATTAGACGGTACAGACTCGAGAAACGTCCAGGGGTCTGTCTGTCTGTCTTGGCTTATGAAACATTGGCGGCCATGGTCGGGGTATTTTCGACACTCTGACCCTGTTTGATGGGCAATCGCCCAAACATGCCACGCAGTCGAGTTGCGTAGCGCGAGGAACGTCGTTCATTATCCTTGCCATTATCTTCAGTAGTGTTTTTAACCTCTTTCATCTGCTTTTGCATCCACTCCGCCATGATACCATCGTGCCCAATGCCACTGGCAAGCTGTCCAACACGCGACATATGGGGCGCTCAAAAACGCACTTTGTATCTGCTCTCTATCAATTAAAGAATGTAATCAATCAATCTTCCCATATAAAAGCCAGATTCCTCGCAATCCTATGTCAATTTATTTTCATTCCCCTGTTGCATTTGTTTCTTCGGCACCTGCTTGTTTTTCGCCCACTTCCCGCGTTGTCGTTTCACACCCGTTGCACCCCCGTCTCAACTCCGTCTGAGGCCCAACTAGAGACATCGGGGTAGAAGATACCCGTGCCTCTTCCCCAGATAACAGAGCACCAAGGGAACATATGCAACCATCATCAAACTCGGCCGCCATGCAGATTGGTCCAGTGTATTGTCATAGTGGCATTCAAAAAGGCATCATCCAAATCACCCCCGATAGTCTCACACATCAACGTCACAGTTCGAGCGTCTGGCATCTGTACAAAGTACGGAGTAAGTCTTGGCCAAAATGTACCAGTCTATCGCTTGCACTTGAATCATGATGCGCCATATCATCGTCCATGTAGTCTTCTACCATCGGGTCATCCAACCCTTTTCGTGCCATGGTTCCGTTGTCAACGCGTAACATCCATCCCTTTCTTTTTCTGCCGTTCCCTAACATCCATTGCTATATTCACCCATCTTCGTCGTCGTCGTCATTTCTTATACGCTGATGGTCCGGAAAACGCTAAACTCCTCACCCGTCGCCACCAGGCTGCCGGTGATCTGCGGGTGCCAGTGTACCTCCTTGACGTCCTTGAGGTAGTGCACAAAGAGCAGCTGCGGCGGCACGTCCTTGACACCGGCTGTGTCCTTGCTTTCCTCGTCGTCCAGCTCGACGGCCAAATCCCACAGCGTGACGGTGTTGTCGGCCGCGGCCACGGCCATGATGGAGTCGTCAGTCGGGTGCCACTCGACGCTCGTAATCTGCTCCTTGTGGAAGTTGAAGCTCGCGATGGGCTGCGGCTTCTGGGTCTCGGCCTTCCACTGGCGCAGATCCCACACGGCCCACACGCCGGCGTCGTCGCCCGAGGCCAGCAGGTGAGAAGTCTGACGGGACCACGACATGACATTGACATCGACGTCAGAAACCTGGACTGTGATGGCGGCCTTGCGCGACTTGGATCGCACATCCCACACGCGGATGGTGCCGTCGCTCGACGCCGAGGCAAAGACGGACTGCTCAGACGGCGACCACTGCAGCTCCTCGACACTGCTGGCGTGGCCCTGGAAAGGGCGGTTGTCGGTGACCCAGCCGCCGCCGTCGGTGCGCGATGTCATGTAGATGAGGCCGTCGTTGTCACCAGTGAGCAGCCGGGCGGGAACGGTGGGCGACCAGTCGAGCGCGTAACCCTCGCTTCTGTGGGTCCTGATGGTGGAGATGGACTTGTTCTGCTGGGCCGAGATGGTGGTGCCCGGGTTGTCGAACGAGGCCAGGTGCGGGGTGATGTCGTGGATGAAGACGTTGGAGGACTCGGTCATGGTGGCCGTGAGGGTGGTGGCCGGCCGGCCGAGCTCCTGGCTGGGGATCTGGTGGGAGCGGATTCGGTTGGTGGTGGAGCTGAGGGGGATGGTCTTGCTCTCGAGGATGGGGTCCGAGTCCTCGTCGTCGTCGCCGTCCGAGTCGGAATCGTCGCCGCGATCCATCTTGCTGAGGCCACTAAACTTCATCACCATGAGCTGGTTGTCGGCGGCCTTGGCTGACTCGGCCTGGGTGCCGGCGACGGTGTACATGGTGGCCGGGTAGGCCTTGCGGCCATCACCCAGGCCGTCCTTGACGATGTCGAAGGAGAGGCATGGCCAGGGGGTGCTGAGGTTGTGCAACATCTCGTACGTGGTCAAATCGGGGGCCAGCGTCTGGCCGGGCTCGAGCTTGCTTCGTCCGACGATAAAGGTTCCTTGGTCGACGTCCATGGCGTCTGTCGAAAATTATTCAGCCAAGGGATTCCCGCAAAGAAAGGCCTTGAACAATATGGCCACGGCATCATGAGGTGAAGAACGTACCAGCGGCCTTCTCATCGGCCTCCCGTTCAGCATCTGGCCTGCCGTCCACACCAGCCTCGAAGATCTCGTCTTCGCTCTCAAACTCGTCCTCGAACTCGTCTTCAAAATCGCCCATTTGGTTGTCGTCGACGTCCATCTTCTCGGGGCGATCGCCACCCTTGAGAGGCGTATCGCCATGCTCGGTATCGGCAGTGCGCTTTGCCATTGTGTTGATGGTGGGGTTGATGCGATGGGGTGCGATGCGACGGTAGGAATCGGGTGTCGAAACAGCTGTAAGTGTTCTATCTTGACCTGGCTAATTTGGTCCAGATGTCAAAAAAGGTTAATCAATCGAAGTCGCCACACGCCGTATTCAAGATGCCGTCGTAAATGCAGTTGCAGATGTAGCCCCAATTCGAACTGAAATTTTGACGCCTTGCCCCTCCAAAACCAAATCCTCTGCCGGTGCGCAAAGAAAGAAAATTGGGAGACATCCCCGCCATGACGCAGTGGGGTAGAGCATGTGCCGGAGATTAGCCGTCACAACAATCGAGAAAGAGAGCTCATGTCAACCCACCGTCCGGAAGAAAGGTTTGTAGCAAGAGCTCACGAAACTGGACGATGACGCATGCCTGTGCGATGGAATCAACCAGCGTGACGCGGATTGCGAGAGTCGACCCTCGATCCGTGGCGTCATCGCAGCTTGAATAGTTCATAGTGGAAGCCGCTGTATTGCTCAGCCAACAACAGCATAGGAACAGAATCGACAATGACCAGGGCGGGGCATCCGGGTCCCTGGTGTTGCAGCCAAGTATTCCAAATCATCGACCGACAGTTGACGCCCAGTCAGAACAGACAAAAGCAAAAAAAGAGGTCCTAGCCAGGTTCGAACTGGCGACTTCAGAAGGAGGATGATGATTAATCAACTGTGACGAATTAGCTTGATGTGTCGTAGAATTTGGAACGGTGAACATACAATCTGACGTCCTGACCACTAGACTATAGGACCGATCCGATGTTTTGTCGACCTTGATAATCGAACCTAGAGGGTTGCTTCATGCGACCTTGCTATTGCAGCCATTTTGCACTACCCATCCCATCCCATGCCTAAATCGATACGTACCTCATCAAGCAGAAAAAAAATGCAAGGCGGGAATCATGGAAAAGCATTGGCCAATGGCCGTTCTGCCGAGGCCCTTCTATTCCCGGCGCAGGCCGCCCAAGACGGACTGGGTCTGTATTAATTCCAAATATCCGTCGCTCTGACGCTTCCCTGGGCGCTGGAATTTGTCAGAAGCCTCTCCAACTCCCATGAACAGCCACCCAATCTGCCCCTCGCCCGATGTTCCGATGTTTTGTCAGCAGCGATGACGGAGCCCCAAATCCCATCCCGGATGCGTCGATTGGAGGGGTCCCTTGGTGAAAAATGCAGCGCAAATTGTGTCATCGCGCCCGTGGCTGATTGCATCAGTGCATCACGACTTATTCATCACACTGAGACAGTACTACCCGTAACTAGGTAGATGGTATATATTGATGGCTCTTCCCCACCCAGGCTTTTCTTTCCATTCTCTCTGTACTCATTGATTCCCTAATACGTTCCCACTAGCATCGCATTAAGATACCCCCCACCCATCACTCGTCACCCATCTGCCCCTCTACGATAACCCCTCACCAAGACCAAACCATCACCTATCAACACCACAAATTTTAACGACCAGCACTCAACCACAAACAAACAAAACCCACCCAACATGTCCGTCGTCGAGATCAAGTCCAAGGCCGAGTTCGACGAGCTCCTCAAAGCCAACCCCTACGTCGCCCTGCAGGCGCACGCCACGTGGTGCGGCCCCTGCAAGGCCATCTCGCCCTTCTTCACCAAGCACGCCGCCGCCCTCAGCAAGCCCGACACGGTGGCCTTTGCCAAGTTCGACACCGACGACGTGCCCGAGCTGGCCCACGAGCTCGGCGTCTCCAGCATCCCCGCCTTCTACTTCTTCGAGAACGGCGACAAGACCGAGTCCATCAAGGGCGCCAACCCCCCGGCCCTGCAGAAGGCCGTCACGGCCCTGGCTTCAAAGGGCGACGAGCCCGCTGCTGCCCCCGAGGAGCCTGCTCTCAAGACCGACGAGAACTTTTAGATGTCTTGTCGCAGCAGGGCAGTAATGCCTGTCGCAGTTAGACAGTAATGGCGAATCAATGGCGTTGGTTCGAGGAATGAATCACACACACCTACAATCGCGGCGTCTGTACTGGGCTGCTCTCAATCCAGCATGGAAAGACCGTGACAACAAACAGCCGACACGAAACAACCCGCCTCTACCACACTGACAGGAACCGCTTAGGCACTCCCCGTCTGTGGCATACGAGGCGAGGCAGCAGTAGAGTCTAGCAAACCAATACAAAAAAAAACATTCATGAACAAAACCGCGCCGTATTGTGATGAGATTGACTGTTTGACAACCTAACAAGAAGACGCTAACACGGTACACCTTCTTTGAATGGAAAGCAAGTGCAAATGACCACTGGCAGGATACTTTGCATAGGTAGGTACCCAAAAAACCGGGATCAGCTTCAGTCGACGAACCAAAGCTTGCCCTCACCATCGAGCACCATGTCGCGCAGCGCCAAGTCGTATTGCGTGAAGACGAACGAGCCATGCGAGACAAAACACATACCGGTGAACGTGCGGCGCAGAAACCCCCAACCCGGATGCACACTCGACAGCTGCCACGGCACCGTCGAGATCTTCCTGGTCGCGGTAGCTCTTGGACGAGAACGACTTGATGCTTGCGTACCAGGGCAGGCCTAGAAGAAAAACACTCAAGGTCAAGAGCAGAGGGTCGCCAAAGGAGGAATCCATTTTACGGGCACTACAAGGAGGGAGGTTGAGTTTTCAAGACAAAGACTTCTAACAAGATGTGGGTGGCCGTCCTACGATTGACTGTAGGCCCAGGAACTAAACAGCTAGCATCCAGTGCGCAAGGTGGTTATAAATCAACATCTAGTATTTGTATTTGTGGAGGGGAGAGCTGCGTACAAGACAGGTACTGTACTCAACGTCTCTTACAGCCAGTCATCAGATAACAAGTTATGTAGTTGCAGTCTCACGTCGATGCTTGAAATCCGTGTTGTATGTGCTATTTCGCTTGGCTACAACGTCTAGAGAGAATCCTACAACTTGTCTTGCCTTCCAAGACGAAAATGAAGCCAACACTGGACTAATACACTGGGCGTCCTCCTCGAGCTCACTCCCACATGTCATCCTCCACCGCGTAGCCAACCGCCACCCCTTCTTTTTTGAGTCGTCCGTCGCCCTAGACTCCGCTGTAATCCAATCCCGGACAAAGGGGTATCGTACTCGTACACAAGCCTCCAAGAGGCCAATATTTCCCTTAATAACGCCGTATCCCAACTTTGCAGTTGTCCCAGAAACACAAGAAAATTTGACAAATGATTGATCGCTGACTTTCGCTGTCATGATGCAAGTTAAATGAATGAATCCACGTCTCCCCAGGTCCTCGCCGGGATTCTGGCTTCTCCTCGACGTTGCAGGCGGCACTTCCAGAGTGACTCGTCATCCTCGCATATCCTCAGGCTGAACATTCATCGTGAGACCTTGCTCAAGTTGCGTCGTCTTAGTTGGAATCCGTCATGTCAGGGCTCATACGCCCTACTCCCGAGTCCACGCGTTTCTTGCTGGGACTAAGGTTGCTGAGGTAATCCCTGGAGTCAAAGGATCCCTTCTTGCCATTCTCCTGTGACAGCTTTGATGCCAACAGGGGCCCCGCAGACCTCCGACGATTAGTCACGCCTTCGTTTCTCAACTTGTTGAGGTCCGTAACTCCCAAGCTCATGCGCCCGGCGGCCTTATCTCTGGGCGCCAAGTATTCGCTGCCCGAGCGAGTGTGGCCTGTTGATCCATTGCTGCTGCCAGGATTCTCCAACACGGTCGAGTAACGTAGACTTGGGAGCCCGCCTCTCCAACGACTGAGGTTCCAGAATCTACCTTCTCCTTTGTCGTCCTTACCTTCGGAGTCCGATGCGCTAATCAGATTGAAGCTGGGGGTTGGAGGGCTCTGCGGCGCATTGACGTTCTTGTCCTGCTCCCTAGTCGACCTAAACGTTGTCCGCGATCGCATACTGCCAGTTGGACTCGTGAGGCCGTGGTTACGGCCAACGGGGCTTGAAGCATAGGGCTGTTTCCTCGCCTCCGACGCCAGATTGACCACCGATGTGTTGATTGGGGACCGGTTCTGCTTGGTGGGGGAAATCGATCGATCACTGCGGTTCGGCGTCCCATTCCAGCTTGCGGTCCCTTCGTCAATGTCTTGCCGCCAACTGTTGATCCTATCCGATGCGTGCTGCAGTTGGATCGGGTTGGGTCCTCCGATGTTGAGAGAGCCACGCCGTGACTGGATGCGGCTCCCTGCACTCGTTCGGGTCATGACACTACCGGCCCGGCCAACTCCTGCGATCCTGCCAGAGAACTTGGACCCCGACTCCCAAAGCCCCTGTTGTCGTTTGGTGTAGGCGCAATCTTGACGAAATACCTTGATCGTTCCCGTCCTGTCAGTGGTGATGACAATATGACCATCGAAATGTTTTGACCGTTCTAGAAAAGCAGGCGTCTCCTCGGGCCGCTTCACGACGGAGGGTTCATCACTACTCTCATCCTCTTCAGATAGTGCCGTTTGACTCGTAGCGCTCTCCTCCAGACTGCGCAGCATGACAGGCGGCGGATTGCACAAGTCATAGACTGGATCACCTGAGGCACTCAATAGGAGTCGTGTCTTGGTTGGCGCCATTAGGGCGGTTGTGACAACTTCGGGGTGCGCGTCGAACGACTCGTAAGGTTGCTTATCCTTCAGCTCGCTTTCCTGCGAGTTGAGCTTCCAGATGTAAGCCTTGCGATCCTCGCTGCCGCAAACAACGTATTGGGCGTCATCGCTAAAGCGAGCGTTGATCTGGCTCGACTGGTTCTCCAGCCCCTTGTACTTGACCTGAATTACCTTGTCATTCAGGTTGTAAACTCGCACACGGGAGTCGTTGGAGGTGATGAGGACCTTGACGATGCCCTTGTCCGGACCAGAGGTCACTATCAATGTCCGAATACCCGTGATCTTGCTTCCTTTGGCATTTTTGCCTCTAGAGGAACGGACGTGAATCTGATACCTCAGCTTCAGCCCCTCGGTGATGTAGAATGTGGCCATGCCGCTCAACACGCCGCAAATGGCCATCTTTCCATCAGGGGTAAAGGCTACCGCCGTGATAAATTCCCCAGCGGTGGCCTCGAATGCGACCGTCCTATCCGGAATGCTCCATAGCCTGAGTTGCGCATCCAGAGACCCAGCCAGGAAGAAGCGGTCATCGGTAGGGTGGAAGGCAATCGAAGTGACCACGTCCTTGTGCTTGAACGTGCACAGGCAGTCATTCCTGGTCATGTGCCAGAGTCGAACTGTCTTGTCCATGGATGAAGACAGAAGAAAGTTATTTTTGCTCCAACTTAGGGCCAGCACCTCGCCGGTGTGCCCATGAAACTCCCGGACAGGCTTGCTTCGAAAAACGGGAGCGCTCAGTCGCTCTCCGGTTGTTCCGTTCTGTGCTTCCTCGTCCTCGTGTGCCTTGCGCTCTTCGGGTGTCGAAATGACGGCAAAAACCCGTACTATCTGGTCTTTGCCAGCAACAGCCAGGTACCGACCATCCCCGCTGAATTCAGCAGCCCAAATAGCATCGCCGCCTTTTAGGATCTTGCTTCCCACAGCGGTTGCCGGAGCTCGGCCGTGAGTGGCAGTTGATCGCTTGGTGCCCATAAGCTCCTGAGCGAGGAACAGGTGGTTAAACTCGCGGTCTTTCTTATTGTGTGCTTTGACCCGGATATATCGAGGGGGCTCCTTGTAGAGCGGGATGTAGCCACCTCCCGCACCAATGACGGATGTGAGAGCTTGGGCGTGGGTGCCATCAGTTCGCAAGTCGCCCAGTTCCGAGTCAGAATCCTGCACATCGTCA